TATATATATATATACTCGAATATTTCTCTTAGGTCAGTAGTGTTATAATACTTGAGAATAGTGTAAAAACCGAAACCTTGGTCGTATTTATATTAATACATTGAGTAAGTGGAAATTAGACAAAGTATTTTATCTGTATCATTTAATTGAAGATGAATTTCCACAAAATAAATAAGTCATCAATATCAAAAATTATTATTTATTATTGCATTTCTTGAGTTATTCCTGATTTCATTAACGATTTTCCAGCTTTCCTTATTTCTATTATTTTAATTTGAAATTCTTTTGTTGTTGTATTCTGCTTTGGTTTTTTATTAGTGCTTCATAAATATATTTGATTTGTTTATATCTACTTTTTATAATTTCATTTGTAGTATTCCTGGCTAACTTAGAATGATCACATACCATTTGATGTAATTCCTTGATTTCTCTGTTTATCCATGGTTTGTCAGAATTTTTTCTATTACCTTTAATTTTTTTCAGTGGAAAAGCCGTATTGTAATGATTTATAAGGGTTGTATGGAAAAAATTATAACATTCATTCACATCACTAGCTGTATACACATCTTCCCACTTTTCAGTAATTAGTACTCTCCTGAAAGTTATCAAGTTTCTCTCTGAATATATACGTTTATAATTAATATCTGTATCTAATTTCTGCTCATTTGATAATGCAAATTTACAAATTTGAAATCTATTATCTGAAAGATGGGTATCGCTGACATGAGAGTCAATAGCTAAAAGATCTTTATACATTATATATATACTTCTATTAATACGTGTAGCTTCCACAATGATGTTTGTCATGTGAAATTCATGAAACAGGTTTTTAATTTTTCTCGCTTCAGCGTTGTCGCTCAATGTGTCTACATATGAAGTATAATCAAGATAATTAGTCAAGAAAAAATATTAGGATGTACTGAAAGAGTTCTGTTGATACAAAAACATTGATAAAATGTTAAAACCATTCTTTTTGTCTTTTCAGGTTGAAACTTGGATATGTTTTCCAGACTCAACCTGGAGCTTTCGTGATCGATGTTGATGCAAAAATGCCAATGCCAAAAAAATATAATATATAAATAAAATATGTCATGAATTTACATGTGAATTTTTTTGCACGACTCAATGAATTAAAATCATCTGTCCACAGAAAGCCACCAAACACAATATTTATTTTGAAGACAAATGAAGTTATGGTCTAAGACATGCATCCATAAAAAAGATTCACTAGAAAAGGAATTTACCTTTGTTGGCAGAAGGAGTCAGCATGTCAGTTGGAGCCGAATCCGTATCAAACATGGAGGAATCCATATCATTTTCAACTTCACTATCTGAAATGTTTTCCAGATCAGAACTGTAGCTGCAGTCCTCGCTGTTTGTCGTCACTCCCATCCAGTCTGTAGAGAAAATGTCATCCATCAGACCTTCGCTTTGTCTAATCTCAGGAGACGACAGAATTTCATCATCCGAATCTACATTAGTGTCTCTGATACTGATTGTGGGGATACGAATTGTTCTAGAAGACTATGGACAATGAAAGAATAAGATTTATTGGTGCCATACATATTTCTTTACACAATTAGGAACTAATTACTAGAAACTAAAATAGAACTTTACAAAAAAATTCAGGATATTTAAATTATTATTGAAATATTCATTATAAGAGTAAATTTTTCCTTGTTGAGTTATTTTTTAATTTCAATTTCAGCTTATTCAGACTGAGATCTTCAATGGCAATTTATTGAACATTTATGGAGCAAGATATTCAACAACTATTTGTATTTTACTGTGAAGAAATCAATGTAAATATGCAAGGACAATAACTGTTTGGGTTGGCATGAGTTGTCTATTCCATCCTATTCAATCGACAGTCAGGAGGTTCGAGCTGAGAGTCTGCATGATCGACTTCCACTGCTTTACCTGCCTTTTACCTTACCCGCCTATTGTCCAACCCGTGCCAGAATTGGACAATAGGCAGGAAAATTTAAAATAAAAGAATCTAGCGACTGTCATAAACTTCACGTTATCAAAACACTTTTTTCAGAAAAGAGAAGTGAATATCTAAATGCAAAACAAACACAGATTTGTAGTTGAAGCAGCCAAGCAAAAATTATTATTTTCAACAGCTACAATAAAAATAAAGCAACATGAAATGTAGTGTCTGAAGTTACACAAAAATTAAAATTCCATAAAAACCTAATAATTGTTGAACATTAATTTAATAATATTAGTAAAAGTAGCAACAAATGAAGTAGTGAAATTTTCAACAAATATTTCAAATCAGCTCCTGCTAAAATTGATAAAACAATGAAACTCAAATAGAGAAAAATACATTCTAGATAAATGTCATGTTTTGAGTAAAGGCGTGGTTTTTCAACCTTAAGGAAGAATTCATAACTGTTTTCCCTCAATTGGGGCATCGAGTGGCCCAGATAAATTACTCTGTTTTTTTTAATGGTGAGATATATAATGAAACTGCTAGTTTATTTCATCATTTTGTAAAGGTATATTTCCCAATTTATTGAAATGTGGAAATGTCACCCCATCTTCAAGATGAATGGTCCATTTAGTGAAGAAAATTATACGCCAATAACAGTCCCATCTAAATTATTTGAATAGATTCCTAGACAAATACTTAAAGCATCTTGATAATAAATATATTTCGGGAACATTCAAATTTCAACCTTTCAAAGTATGAAGTAGATGGTGTCCCATGAAGTTTGCTCGAATAATTTTTGTATTTACGTTAACAATATGCCATTATTGAACACCAAAATGATAATTGTTAGACAAATATTACATCCAAAAGTGTACCTATGAAATTAGGAGTTCCCAGTGGTAAATAATTAACGAGGCATATTCTCTTCATTTGCTACATAAATGATATCGAAAATTTTCACACTGTTGCTCAATTCACACTATACGCTGATGATACTTTCGTTATAGTTTCAGAGAAAACAAATTATCATCTGGAAAACTCCTGTAATCAACTCCTGAGTAGTTTGAATTACTAAAGATCAAAGTAGTAGTACTGGATATAGGATGAAGAAAATAACTTTTTCTGATTTCTTGTAAAATTTTCATTTGTTATAACTGGTTTCGGTTTGTTAAACCATTTTCAAATAATCAATCGAACAAGTTAAACTACTCAGTCACTCACACGCTCACCTCCTCACATTCACTCACTGAAACACACACTCACTCCCTCACTCTCACACTATAACTCACTCACTTCCTCACACTCACTCGCTCATACTCCCTCACTCCGACACTCACCTGCTCACTCACTCACTCACTCTAACTCACACACACGTAACACTCACACAGTAGCACTCACAGACTAACAGTACACGCTAATACTCACAGGCTAACACTCACATTCTAACACTCATGCGCTAACAGTAACATACTAACATTCATATACTAACATTTGCATACTAACACTTACATAATAACACCCACACAGTGACTCTCACTCCACAACACACTAGCACTCACACACTCACTCTCACACCTAGACTCATACACTAATACTCACACGCTCACTAACACTTACACACTTACTCAATCCCTCACACACTAACACTCACTCTTTCTTCACACATGTTACGGTTCCCAAAATGCAAGAGCGGATTTATAATATAACATTAAAGTAATGTATTGAAATCATATATTTATTCACAGCATCCACCCTGTATAACATTCAAAACAATTCAGTTCAGTTTTTTGTGCCTAAAGACAATCAGAATAATTCGACCTTGAATAACGTTGATAGGGAAAAAAAGAAAAGGAAAAGAAAAGGGTTTTTTCTCTGGGAATGAGAGTTGAGTTTGGTTATCTTCTCTGGAGCAAGAATTTTAAGCTCATCACTTTGTGGATTTGAAGAAACCAAAATATTCAATACGGGAATAACTATATTTGGGTTATCTAAAGGAATAACTCGCCCACAGTATTGGGGATTTTTATTAAGTACCCGTTCTCTTGTCAAATTCCAATCTTCAGGCCACACAACAACTACGGTAAGAACCCACTTCCCGAAAATACCCTAAAGGGTATATCCATCTAAACCTTAAACTCATTTTAGGCCTTCTTATTACCACCTCAAGTCGATATTGTGAACTATATCGTGGTGTATCTCTCGCAAGGCTAGACCACCACACCCCTTATATCTCTGATTACGGTCTTCCGAGGAGCAAGTTATCTGCATGGAAAAGATCATTGCCTGAGTGGACTGCGTACAGGGGTTGGATCGTGCTGCTGGAGACTATTCTCCCATATCCCATGCATGTAAGGTCTTTCCTGTTATGTATTACACCCTCCCGCACGACTTCGAATCAACATTGCGGCACAAATTGCGAATTCTAGAAGGAACCAAGTATTTACCACACCTTAAGTTTAATCATAAGTTGCTTACATTTATATCTGTGAACCCAAAAGTGGTGATTACAGGCCATAAGCCTGTAATCACCACAAGCTTGGCGTGTTTGAAGAAACAATACACTTATCCTCCAAGTGGACTTATATTTACCCACCATCCCTCTCCGCTGAGTTCCGGCAGCCCATAATTTAGTTCCTAAGTAACAAAGTAACCCGTTTCAATCTACAACAACGAAGGTTACACACACTCAATGACTCGCTCACTTACGCTCACTCAAACTCACTAACTTCCTCACACTCTCACACACTCGCTTAGCCACGCTTTCACACTCTCACAAAATCACACACTAACACAAATACTCACTTCCTCACTCATTCACACATCAACTCCCTTACACAATCACTCACTCTCACACTCAATTACTCGCTCACTCACTCGCAACTCACTCACACAATCCTTTCCTTACTCACTCCCCCAAACTCACGAACTCCCCCATACTCACTCACTCACACACTCACTTCCTCACACACTTGCTCACTCACTAATACACTTGCTCACTCAGTCATTCACACACACACACTCACACTCAATCGCAACTCACTCACACATTCACTCTTCCACTCACACTTACTCTCTTCCTGACACTTACTCTCACACACTCAACCACTAGCACTTCCACACTAACTCTCACACACTAACAGTCACACGCTAACTCTCACACTAAGTATCTCTCTAAGTCTCTCTATGACAAGGGACTACTTACACTGAGTGATTTTCTCTTAGGTTTCAAGTTGGGTTTCACATCTGTATCAGAATCACTACTACAAGACCCATGAACTGCATCCCTTATGTGGTTATCTGCCGAGTTCTTCTCATAAACGTCAGAAATAGTTTTAGTCGTATCAGATACACCACTGAAACCAACAAGTTTTTCGTCAATTTTCATTTGTATTATTGTAATTAATTTCTTTCGTTTTATAATGTTTAGGATGATTTTCATTGAAGTTTTGTTTTATAATTTTTCTTACATCCTTCGAACAGAAACAAACATGAACAGGATAGTAAAAACCATTATTTCCTTTCAACATTTTTACCAGAATAGGAATGATCCAATATTGTAAAGATCCGGACATGACAATAAGTAATAAAACTAAAGGATTAAAAGGCATGTCGGGATATTAAATCAAAATTTAACAAAATTAAAAACTTAACCGTACATTTCTTTAGTGTGCAAGCATTCTCCTAGAGTAAATGCACTACTTTCCATTAACAAAGGAATGTATGTATACATTCAAAATTATTCATTTCTGAAAAACTTTCGATGCTATGGAGATTACGAAAAATGAAAAAAGAAAATCTGTAAATGATGATATAAAATATTGGGCGAAATCAAAACTGTAGACCGTATTTGAAACAAAAAAATATTTTTCTATTGGCAGCTATCCCATTTTTAGTAATAATGAAAATAACATTTTCTGCAGAATAGAGAATAGTTCAACAAACAAGAAAACAGTTTATCAAAAGAGATTATGGTGTACATACTAATTGTACACAAGCTAGGGGCAGATATTGCACTATAAGACAATGTTTTGAAATGGTTCAAATCTTATTTGAGTTACGGCAGACAAAAAGTAAAAATCTTCTCAGATAGTATAGTTGGTAAGTTAGATACGAAGAAAAAAATATAGGCTTTCCACGGGGAAGCACAACTGGACCTATTTCATTTATTGTAGTTATAAATTATATTTTAGAAATTTTGAAGGACGAAAGTAATGATTCTTATCGGATACCATTATGCTGATGATACGAATTTGCTAATATCAGACAAACATTTTCCAGATTTAGTAATTAAATCAAATGAGTTGTTGATGCACAAAATAAATCGGTTAATGAAAAATAATTTAATATTGAATATAATAAACACAAACATTCTTTTTTCCCCAAAATAATAACAAAAAATTGAAACCCCATAATCAGTAAAGATACTGGGAAATAAAATAAAAACAGAAAACTATATGAAATTTTTAAAAGTCTATGTTTATCAGCACCTTCATTGGCATGCATATACACATAATTAATCTAGAAAAACAACTTAATAAAATGGTTTATAGTACCAAAGTTGTAAGTAAGCAAATATTTAAATAAGAAATTCTTAAGAATAATTTATTTCGTTAATTTTAAAGTCTTGGTTAAATTTGGCATAATATTTTGGGAAAGTGATATGAGCATAGTTGAAATATTCAAAATCCAGAAAAAAGTCATTAGCAGTATTTTCAAATTGAACTGTGGCATTGACATCATTGGGTTAACACATATTTATGAATGTATTGTACATATTTATGAATGAATTGACACAAACAAACCTATTTCATGTGACAATTGAATTATTTAATAAATTACCAAATGAAATCAAATTCTTAAGCAGTTTCAATGAATTCAAAAAACACGATAAGAATTTTTTGATGGATAAGAAACCATATTCACTAGAGGGATGTTTCAACTAAGGGGTATATCTTTGTTATGACACTATTCTACTTTTATATTTTATATGTCTTGTAATGTGTAAAGTGAAATGGAAGATCATTATTATAATGAATCAATTAGTAACTATAGTTACTTGAAAATGGTCTAATAAATCAAAACCGGTCATAACAAATAATAAACTTAGTAGAAATTAGACAAAAGTTATTTTCTTTATTCTATATTTACATTTCCTGGCCTCATTGTAGGGAGCAAAGTCGTACTTTTCCTCACTAGGGAGGAAAAGTAAAAGTGACGTCAAGGTACATAATCAATGAAATAATTTTTGTCTGCTATAGAGCAGGAAAATGTATCAACCAAATGGTTGGGAAAAATATTATAGCTAAAATTCCTACAAAAGTTGCAGAATTTTTAAAACTGCCTAATGCCATAAATTATACCGGGCATAGTTTCAGAAGGACCTCGGCAAGTTTACTTGCAAATTCTGGAGGAGACATTCTTACTTTAAAGCAACACGGAGGTTGGAAGTCTACAAATATCGCTGAAGGATATGTGCAGCAATCTCTTGCAAAAATGCAAAAAATTTCGAACCTAATTATAGGAGTCACTAAAGTTAATGAAACTGATTGTAATCAGTCAAGTACGAGTATTTCCGAGGGATACCAGCTGTATAATAATATAGTTAGTGAAAATATCACGAAAACTGCGTTGGATCCAGCTCTCAGTTCTAGTGGTATTCAAATAACTACTGCTCAAAACTGCACGTTTAACATCACTATAAATAATTACTTAGCAGAAATTAAAAATATGTAGGATGCAGGTATGAAAATACCGTCCCTATGAGTTATACTGTACCTACTTCTCAGTTTTAGTTCTTTAATAATTTTAGTTTGTAAGTTTCATAAATAAATTATTTTTTGGTAGTTTCATAAATAAATCATTTAAAAATTTGAGGGAGGCGGAAAAATCATATGTATAACATGGGGGTAAAGTGAATTTTCCTCCCTTGAAGATTACTGCCCTCCGCTACGCATCGGGCAGTAAACTTCATTCTCGGGAGGAAAAGTAACACTTTTCTCCCTTGTTATACAAATAGCTATTTCATGCATAGATCTACTAAGTCTATATATAAACTTCACCTTTTGCTGTCAACTTCTGAAATATCCACCATAGGCAGCACTTTACCGTTTCTAGTAGATTTCACTCTAGAAGATTCCTGATTTTTAACTCTTCTTTTTTTTAAATCACTAATATGCTTTCGTCTTCTATAATGTACGTGTTTCAACTGAGCTGTCTTCATTTCTGTATTGGGACTTGTGGCAACTATTTGAGAATGTATGAGACTTAGGACCCACATCATTATCTGTGGGATTAGTATTTCCATATAAGATAAAGCCTGTAATAAATTCGATCAGTTATACCTTCACTTCAAAGTAAATATTTACTGACTCACATCATGACTGGTATCATTAATTGGAGTTTTGAATAAACAAACAATAATATTGATAACTTGCAAAAAATATAAAATAAGACTAATTCCAAAGACGTATCTGGAGGTTTGTTCAATCCACCATTTTCTGTATAAGGGAAGGAACATTAATCTCAATGTAGCTAACTGGGTGACTTTGATGAAACCATGCTTTGGTTTTGTTTTGGTAAAGGAAGATCCTGAAAAGTTTTAAAACATTTCCATTGAGCTAATAAATAATAGTGGATTACAAACAAAGAGATAAAATAATAAATTTCAATTCGAAATCTTCTGTAGGAGAAACTCCATAGAAAATTTTAAGATTATGCCATTACTATAATTTTACCCGGGACCGCACTGCAGGATGCTAGATAGTCGCTTGGAGGGTGGATGGTAAAGGTGTATGGTGGAGGAGCAAAGTATCCTGGACGCAGTGAAATAAAGCCAGTATTTAACTGACAGCAAAAAGTTACAATCATGCCTTTCTTTGAATATTACTGAAGTTTTTCCCAACACCAAATCGTTATTTTTAATACCTCGACTTGTGTTTCGATCACCAAGTGGTCATCTTCAAGAGGAAGATTAGACTGTTTAATCTTCCTCTTGAAGATGATCACTTGGTGATCGAGGTGTTAAAAATAACGATTTGGTGTTGGGAAAAACTCCAGTAATATTTATTAGTACACCAAAGGTTCCAAACAGTGCATCATAAATGCCTCTCTTTAATAAATAAACAAAATCATTGAAACTAAACATTAGAACATAAACATTAAAGAAAAGAGTTACATATTATGAAAAAAAGGATCTTGCTGTTGAGTTGTAGATGTTCCACCATACGAATCTAATGATTGTTGTTCCATCAAAAAACATGAAACATGAGTAGAATTTGACAATGATGAGTACTGGATACGACTATCATACTCGTGGCCAAATTTAGGGGTTCCCACAGACAAATTTCTTTTTTTATATTCATTCAAGATGAGGTCTTGAATTTTCCCACGGGCTCAGACTATGGCCTGGGCTTAATTCCCGCATATATGGAAGTAAACTCTTGAAGAAACACAAATCCGGATCTTCTTCGGAGCTGATTTCTTTTTCCAGAAGTGCAAATTTTTCCTCAATGGGTCTGCTGGTTCCCAAATTGCCCTTCTTTTGTACACATAACTTATGCTTTCCTCCATAGCTAGGCTACCCGGCTGGAATATCAAACAGGACTGATTAGGTTGAATAGACGCCTGGCGTACCTTCGGATGATTTCTGGAGGTTTAACGGTAGTGGGGGGGGGGGCAACTGCGGCTACCGCCGTGCTGTTACTCACGTTTATAAACAGCAGGATATTCGCCAGGCAGCTATCTACCATTCACCATCCTACCAACCCTCCTGCAGTGCGGCCCCAGCTTTAAGGTTACTAGAAGCGGCCCAGATTAGTTGATATCAGTAGTACCAGCCCAGGACATGAATGTAAGGTTTGAACTAATTTTTCATAGATACCCTTGCAGTGAACAGGCAGCCACTGTCCCCCTTGTTTATCTATGATATATGTGATTTGTATTAATAATAATATAATAATAATAATAATAATAAATATACTTTATTGTGTGAAGATACAATAATCTTATCGACAAAGTGTAGACATTCATAAAACTTGATATATCATGGTTCACATGATATTGTCAATAAAATATAGGACTATCAATTAATTTAATTTTCAATTGGTTATAACTGAGTATTAAAATAAATAAATTGAATAACACATATAACATATAACATACTGAGCTGATGTTAGACGTCAGTGAACACTGTCTCAAAAAATTCCGTAATACTATATAAAGCCAGATCCAGAAGAGAAGTTTTCAATTTTTTTCTGAACACAGCATATGTTTCAGAATGTTTTATTTCTGACGGCAGATGATTGAATATTTTGGCAGTGTTATATATGCATGAATTTTTTATTAAATTTGTTTTTGGGATTGGAAGTCATTTCTATGGCGGGTGATTCCATCAGCGAACTTGTAAAGTGTTTTGTTTTAATATACTAGACAGGCAGTTTCGAGAATGAACAATGAGAGCAGAGTTAACAACTTACGAGTTTTGAATAGTTTTTTACAAGATACCCTGGGAGCCGCTTTACAAAGATAGCGAATTGCACGTTTTTGAAGAACAAAGATTGAGTAAAAATGTACTTGATTACAGACTCCCCAGAAAGCGATTCCATATCGAATGTGCGATTCGATCAAGGCATGATAAACCTGCATTGCTGTCGCTGTACCTAGTTCATTTACAACGATGCGTAGTGCATAACCACCCGAGGCGATCCTTGAACCTAGCTGTCTAACATGATGCTGGAAGTTTAGTTCCCCATTCATGTGCACCCCTAGAAACTTATTACATGCATTATTTCTTATTGCACCATCACCCAGAGGGATATCCGGCAAAGCACAGTGGAATGATACGCAGTTAGTTTTTTTAATATTGAAGGAGAGTAAGTTAGCATCGCACCACTCTTTGATCTTTGTAATCCCTAAAACTATTTTTGAGTGTCTTGAGATAATATGTTAAAATCTGTTTTTCTGTTAACCAGCTGTTATAAGTTATAATTCCAAGAGTGACAAATTTTTGAGAAAATTTTTGACTTTCTACTACTTCATCTTGATACAGACAAATGTGGGAATCTTCCAAAGGAAGGAAGGAAGGAAGTTATCCATTTTGAAAGTAGTAACTTTATACATAGATGTGTAGATCATGCAAAGAAGTAACTTTCAGACACAAACTGATTCAATTCCAATGTTTATAATACAAACTGAGTAGAGAAAAGTGTTTTCTGTATAATTCAGTGTTTATATAAAAGTATTTGTTTCGAAAGAATGTTTCTTTTGTTTAATTCAATGTTTATATGAAAGTAGCTGTTTCGGGAAGGCTTTTTCTTTCAAAATTGATTACTTCCTTCCTTTCTTTGGAAGATTCCCACATTTTTCTGTATCAAGATGGAGTTGTAGAAAGCCAAAAAATTTCTCTCCCAATTCAATAATGGACTGACTAGTTAGAGGATTAGAAAAATCGTGGAAAAAACTATTCATTTTTCGATGACTTGTCGAACTTTATTAGGTTCCTCATCAATGTTCGAAATACACAGCCGGGCATAAAAGTTATCTTGGAAATTTATGTTTTTATTTGAATTATTTTGGATGTACCGTACTGTACTAATGAATTGCTTCGAATACATAGTTGTTGTTGTTTCTGCGATAAGAGTTTGACAAAAAAACGAACCCTCGCCTGTATTCCTAAAAAACACTATTGGTGTACTTTTTTTTCTATAGTTTCATCTGTCAATTGCACTTTGTATACTGTTGTCAATGTTGGTGTATCGAAAGGAACATAAATTGTGTTGTTTCGGCAAGAATTGTGGCGGCTTTAGAAAATGACCGCTATCAGCGCCAAACTACAAGAAACGTTGGTGTAAGTCTCTCGAGTGTGCAAAGAGTATGGTGGAGGTACCACGAAACTGGTCTGCTAACTTGGATACCTGGTTCAGGGCGACGCAGGACTACGTATCTAGTGGTTTGAGAAACCAAAAAGTTATGGCAGTTTCCCTTCAAAGGCATCTACAAGAAGTCAGAAATGTAAAATTGAGTGAGTGAGGAGGCTGGATAATCCTACTCGAACTAGAGCTACTGGACCCCCACTTTCCCGTGAACACCAGATTGCAAGAATGCATTTCTAATGAGAACACTTGCTTGGACAGTAGCGGATTGGAGGCGTGTCCCATTATGGAGATGTTATGGCATGGGGAGGCATATCGTTTGACACTCGCGCGGAGTTAATCCACATCAAGAATGGGACATTGTATGCACATAGGTACCTGATGAGAGGTTCCACAAGACCATGCTTTTTCTTAGAGACAATGCAACATTTATACATGATAATGCACGGCCCCACGCACTGTCCGAATCGTTACTCAGTATCTTGACGAGGTTCAACTCACGGGATTTTTTCGGCCTGCACACAATACGGATTTAAATCCCATTGAACATGTTTGGGATGGGCTGAAAAAACATTTACAGAGAGATGTGCCGGTTCCGAGAAATTCTAGAGAACTAAGAGACATACTGGTACAAGAATGGGAAAATCTTCTGCAGAATGTAATCCAAAATCTGACCCAAAGCATTTCTCATCGTTAGCAAGCTGTTATCACTGCAAAAGGAGGAAACGCTCGTGACTGAAGCCCTTACAATTTTTCTTTTTCAACCATATTTATTTATCAAACAAGCTATCAGAGCCTAATTACATGAAATTTAAAAAATTAAAGTTCATATAATCCTTAGAATACTTATAACTGTATAAAAATAGTAAAATATGTAACAGAACTGTAGAGGGAAATACTGCTTAAATAAGTAAATTGACCATATGTTCCAAACTTTCTTTGCGGAATACTGATTGGGAAAGTGTCCAGTCAAGGTCTATTGATATATTCAAATGATTAACTAACTTTAGTAAATATATTACTGGTGCTTTCGTTGCGGTACTTACGGTTGGAATATTAAACATGAACGAAAATCGGGTGCGACGAGGGGGTACGTGAAATGGTATTATACTGAGAATTTGTGAAGAATCAATGTTGTTTTTCAAGAGTTTTTGCATGAATCATTGCTGAAAATTGGCGTCGCTGTTCTAAAGATTATATTTTAAACTCATGTCGTAGATCCAAAGACCTTGTTGATATCAGAATCAGAATATGCTTTATTGTCGAAAGAATACAATTCTTGTTGACAAAGTCAGTTGTCGTACATGGATGTATGTTAAAATATAGTTAAAATAACACATGAACCTCCCAGTTATATTCAAATGGGAGATATCGTTGACATATAACAAAAATAAAATAGGTCCCAGTACCGAACCCTGAGGCACACCACATCTAGTAGCTCCAATACGTGAATAGTGGTCAGTTTTTACCAACTGGCTACGATTCTCCAGGTAAGATCTAAACCACTGCAGGCTACTCCAATTTCAGTCTTACCAACGAAAAATAAATTAATTTAATAATGTCTATATTAGAGAATGAAGAAGTTTGTCTGATTACAAAACCCAACATCCGACTACCAGATTTCATAATATCTCGTATATGATCAACAAATGAAAATTGTGTATTTTACCTCAATCCAAGATCTTTGGTATCAGTTTTTCTTTCAAAAACTACACCATCAATGTCATAACTAAATATGATTGGCTCCTTTATGCGAGTTATTTAGATTAATGAACATTTATTAAGATTACAGTATAATTTGTTTTTCAAACTCCAATCTAAAATGTTATTTATATCGTTTTGCATATATGTACAGTCTCGAACTGTTTGGACTGATTTGAAGAGGTTCAGATCATCAGCAAAAAGAAGACAGTCCGAATATTTCAGAGTTGATTATTGATGAAAATTATGAATGGAAGAGGACCTAGATTTGATCCTTATGGTACACCTGACCTAGCTGGAAATTTATCTGAAATTTTTCCATTACCTATGTTTGACAATGAAAGACCGATTTTGAAGATAATTTTTCGTTAGTTCTAAAAAGTTTCTTGAAATTCCATATTTACTAAGCTTTTCCATCAGAATATCATGATGAACCTGATCAAAAGCTTTACCAAAATCAGTAAAAGCAACATCTAATTGAGTTTTATTATCCAAAACTTTGAAGGGTTTATTACTGAATACAAATAAATTTGTATTGATAGACTTTTGTCTCATAAATACATGTTGTTGAGGTACTATATATTTGTCGATGTGTTCACTGAGTTTCTTAAAAATTATATGTTCAAATGCTGGTGAAGACATAATTGATATACCTCTATAACTTTTATTATACATTTTATTTCCTGATTTGTATATAGGCTTCATAATTGAAGTTTTCCATACACCAGGATAAATATTTGATTTGATGATTAAATTAAATATGTGGAGGAGAAGAGAGCATATCAGAGTAAAATTGTTCATTTCATTTCCTGACATACTGAAGTAAAAGTGTTCATTTTCAATTGAAAAGTGGCATAGCACTTATGATGCACTCTTTGGAACCTTTGGTGTAGTAATGAATACTACTGGAGTTTTTTTCCCAACACCAAATCGTTATTTTCAACACCTCGACACGTGTTTCGATCACCAAGTGATCATCTTCAATGAACATATTCAGTTTTAATCTTCCTCTTTGAAGATGATCACTTGGTGATTGAAACACGTGTCAAGGTGTTGAAAATAACGATTTGGTGTTGAAAACAAACTCCAGTAATATTCAGTGGTATAGCAATTATGGAATGACATTATGTTATTTTACACTAACAAAATATATTGACAGTTGTAATAAACATATACAGAAGCCAGAATAGATTATCTCAACTTCATCTATCAATGTCAATCTTTAAAATCAAAAAATTTGTGATTTTTTGGTATTTGTTAAATAAATTGACTAGAGGTTCAGATGTCCATGATGGGTCAACAAAATCGCCTTATTTCTGCTCTACGCTCTGCCCAATTACAACTACCACCCATATTTATATTTCTCCCCACAGCCATAATATACTCGTATAACCTACTGAATCCAACAATTCAGTTAGAACACATGTCAAGTCCTATTTATAATCATTGAAAGCGATGGTTGTAAATATTTATGTTTATATTGCATTATTTTGTGGTTTTTGGTTGTTGAAAAATTGATATATTTTGTTAGAATTGAAATTTGTTTTTACTTTTCTGTTAATTTGCCTTTATTTCATTTTACGATTTGTTGCACTTCATATTTTTGTTATTGGGTATAATTTTTCTAAAAAAAAACAATTCAGCTGTGAAAAAAATTAGTTTAATAAAATTAAGAAAGTCTCCATATCACTTTTAGTACAAATATCTAATTCCTACATTTTGACGATTGTGACAGGACATGATATGAAAAACGTTAATAAACTGGGACACCAGATAAGAACGCATTTTTTGCAACTTTGTGAAGAAATTGATAAAGCTACTTCAGAAAAACATGTTCATACTACCGTTTACGACTTGTTACAAGAACGGGAAGTTGTAACTTAAAGACTATTTAGAATTGATGAAAACACTGAAGAATTAGTTTTCTCAACAAATGCTGATGAAGGGGTTTTTGCAACAGAATATACCAAGGTGCGATATTTCAGAAGAGATTATATAAAATATAAAGCAAAATGTGAAGCTTCGATGAAGAAGGAAGTTATACTTTACGACAATACCAGCACAACCAACGAGAAGATGTAGAGAAAATTGAATTTTCCCAAATCAGAACAGAAAAAATTTGACGGAAATGTTATAAACTGGCTAGGTTTTTTGTGTCAGTTTATAAAGATTCATGGAGATGAAATTGACGCTGACGACAAATTCCAGTACCCACTACAGTCCATGAAAACAGAATCACCTGCAAACAACTTGTAGAATGAGGAATTGTTGACTCTTTTGTGTGAATGCAAGAGTATTATCAACGTCCATCCTCTTACATATATTTATGAAAACTCAAATGACCTTTTGGCATTATCCCTTTGATTTCAGATATCTCAAACAGTGAAACTCCCGATGTTGATCAAATTGATAGGAATCATTTAGTGAAAAGATTCAGATATTTACAAAATCTCTGAGACAAATTACGTACTCGATTCAGCAAAGAGTATTTAGCACAACTGGTCAACTGCATTAACAAACAAAAAATTGGATGCTTGAATGTTGCCAATATTGTTTATTATGTTATATAGGACAATAAGAAGAGACTGGACTGGCCTTATTGAAATATTCTAGAAATTCATCAAGGAAAGGACAACCAAGAATAGCAAGAGTGATTAACTCAAGGAGAAAAGTTAAACAAGAAGAGGACTGTCAACAATTTAGGTATTCCAATATAATTGATAAACAATCCAAGAAATTTTTCAAGAACCCTGTGAAGAACAATTCTATTCATAGAAGAGAGAATATATGAAGAAGAAAAAAAATATGACTGAGAATAAAGAGGATTCACAAGAAAATCAACGTACTCGATGTGAACAAGTTGTGAAGTTTCCCCAGCCCTATGAAATGTAGTAATACTATACTTTTTGGTCGGGGAGATGTTAGAATTGAAGTTATTTTGTACTTTTATGTCAATTTACCTTTACTATATTTGGGGACATATTTCACTTAACATTTTTGTTACTAGGCATAATTTTGTTATTAAAAAAAATCAGCTGTTAAAAAAATAAAGTTCATATTAGAATATAGAAAAAGTCTCCTTATCATTTTTAGTACAAATATCTAATTCCTACATATATTTTGTAAATTTTGTTACTGCTTGTTTTTTGTAGGAGATTATATAGAAGAGCAACTATATGGAATATCACATCCCTCTTGACTTTACATTGCATATTCACAGAGTTGTAGTATATTAATTATTTAGCAAGATGCCATTGGATTAAAAAAAAAATAAGAATTGAGACCAATTCATTAGTATTGGCAATGTCTCCTTCAAACCAAAAATATTCTCATTTACGACACCACTAGTGTGTGATCAATTATTTCTTGTTTTTACTATTTACTTTAATAAATAATCATACTTCAACAATCAATTTAATAGGATTCTCCATCTGCTTTTAAGTAAATAAATAATAGAACAATATTTACTAATGGAAACTTCCTATACACCAGCTAATTAAAAATAGAAAGATGCCTACTTACCCCTCACCAAATCAAGATCAATCAGATCATTATTAGGCTTAGCACTTCTAGTTTTAATGTGATTCAGACCATATTTCAGCTGCTCCCTTTGCTCTATTCTGGTTTCCCACTTTTGTTTATCATATGTGCCAATTTTTTGTTGATACCTGGAAATTACAGCAAAAATATCATCCACATGGATTTGAATTAGAAGGATACTTTATTACCAAGTGAATATGTGATTAATCCCCATCGAGATATCTAAGGGAATAACGGTGAAGAATAAGAGGAATCTTCAGTCTCTTGAACATATTTCAATTAAAAATTCTCATCCTAATCATAATAATGAATCTGTTAATGGAGATAAGGAAAAGATCTAATATCTTCGACCTTCAGTGGAACTGGAGAACACGTTAGCGATGATTGATTAGTTCAATAATTTAAACAATATTTTCATTGATTTTCGCGTTCAAACTTTGACAGTCATCAGTTTGTTTACCAACACCATCTATTATGATATAAAAACATAAAAAGCCAATTATCAAAGATTTCTATACTGCACTGCACAAAAAGTCTGACATAGACATCAGTCGTGTTGGTCGTGTTGTTGGAACCCAGATTGAATAATCTAAACAAAAATAATATTCACTATCTCTCCTCGATGTGTTATGATTCAGCAGAGGGATAGAACATCAGACCGAGAATACCTCAGAGTAACCAAAATTACTTTGAGGATAGAACAAATAACCTTTGGCGGAAATGACAGATCTGGAATAAGATTATTGACATCTTTTAATTTTATTTTCATTTCATACTCTTGGGACCTTGCCTGCAGAATTGAGAAAACTCGCAAACTTATATGTTGTGAATACAAAGTGCAGATATTTAACGAAAGTTATATTTTGTGGAGAAAAATCAGTTTTTTATCGACCTTTTTTGAATATTTTCATCATCAGGAGAACCCAACGATAAATTATCAGAGATTTCTACGCAATCAGTAAGTTATATATTAGTTTCACTACTGATCTATAGTTTGGAAGACCTTAATTTGTTATGCTCATTTAACCCTTTAGGTGATTCAGGGATATTATTTTCCCACCATATCTAAAACGAGGTAGGATGTTTTAGTGGGATCTATACTTACTAACTATCAATTATATGGCATGCTTCGTGTGCTGCCATCTTTCTGATAATGTATCAATTACCAGTCTCTGTCATCTGTTCGCTGGTGAGAAATAGTTATCCCAGAGGCACACTCAGTACCATATATTTTTTATACTATTGTGAAAGGAGTGTTTTGTTGGGAATTTTCGAATTCTGCTGGAAATCCTCGGTTGTATTATCAGAAAAAGTGGTGAGTAAATTATGCATACATGATTTTCATTGAGTAATGATACTGATATATAATGTAATTCGACCTGTTGTCTGTGAAATGATGAATTATTCGAACGTTCCTACATTGAGGTTATGTTTTTTGTAATTCGATTTCGCTAATTTTCATCGCGAATGTAATATTCAAAGCTCATATTTTGTGTCATTTCAATTCCTTGGGATATATATTCCATGAAAAAAAACAAATATTTCTCTAATATGATTCGGTTAACCTGTAACACTATATAATATGCATGAATGTGTCAACTTTCATACCTTCTAATACGTGATAGGGATATTGAATGAGGTTGAGATACTTTTTTTTCAGGAAAATGAACAGATAGGGTTTGAACGATGATGAATTGGAAAAATTGTTATACGAAGATGAAAGTGGGGAAGAAATGGCTGTGGATTCAGAATATGGCGGTGATTCAGACGCTGAAGATGCCTTACCACTCAGGGAAATTCGGAGTTTAGCAACAGTTTCCCTCCGAAATCGGGATAAAACCCCTCCAAGAACATCACCAATAAATCTTCCCTCTTGCTCAAAAAAAAGTTGATATAGAATATTTTGAAGACTCAGATGAATCGATTGCTGATCCAGACTTCACACTGGATGAACATCATCATCAGACATCACACTGGTCGAAATCAATTACATATGTCTGAAGTTCAATCTTCAAACCAAGATTTTCCCTCTGAACCTGACTCTGGCTCCGAATCCGAAAAAATAGAAGAAACAGAAGGAAGTAGTGGCTTAGAACAAAGTTACCCATGGACCAAGATCACTAAAGACCCAGTAGTATTCAAGTAGAATGAATTTACCGAAAATACAGGACCAACAACCCCTTCGAATACGAGTAGTCCATCATCAATCTTCTCACAATTTTTACCGGATGATTTCCTCGGAAAAATAATGAATCAAAGTAATCTATATTCCCAGCAAATACATCAATACCAAGAATCGCCGGATATAACTCTACCTGAGTTGAAAGCTTTTTTTGGATTCTTGTTTTTCATGGGTTTCCATCCATTACCCTCTATGAAGCTGTATTGGTCCAATGATGAAAATTTTCACATTGAAAGAATTTCCAGAATAATGCCTCTGAAACGATACCTGTACATTTTGAGACATTTGCATCTCAATGACAATTCAAAAATGCCTGAACGAGGTTCAGACAAATTCGACAAACTCTATAAACTTCGGCCACTTCTGAATCATTTGAAGGAAACTTTTCCTAAACTTTACACTCCGTCACGCAATCTTTCAATAGACGAGTCAATGATAGGTTATAAGGGAAGATCGTCAATGAAACAATATATGCCAATGAAACCCACAAAAAGAGGTTTCAAAGTATAGGCAGTTTGTTGTGCTGAAACTGGTTATTTACTGAATTTTGATATATACACTAGCAAAAATGATGATCAAAGTACTAATACATCTCTTGGAGAAACAGTTGTTATGCGGCTCTCTGAACCATATGCTAACAAGAACTACTGCTTGTATTTTGACAATTATTTCACATTTCTCTTCTTGATAATCTCCTGGAGAAAAAACTATTTTTGCATGTGGCACAATTCGTGTAAACAGGAAACATTATCCGAGTTCAATTATGAAGAAAGACAAGGAACTAAAAATGTCCGAATATGATTTCGCTCAATCAAATGATATTGGGGTAACGAAATGGAAAGACAAAGGAAAGAAATGTGTCTCAACTGCATCAACCATTCATAATCCTAGCACTACCACAACAATTTCTAGAAAGAACAAAAGAGGAGAAAAAATACCGGTGAATTGTCCACAAATGATTTCTTGCTAGAATAAATACATGGGTGAAGTTGATTTCTTAAATAAAAAATCTCGAAGATGGTGGATGAAAATTTTTTTCTATTTGCTTGAAGCATGTGTTGTTAACTCTTATATACTGTACAAAATAAACATGAAAACACAAAAAAGAAAATCCATGAGCCATCTGAAGTTTAGGTCATGTTTAGCAAATGAACTGATTGGTAATTTTTCTAATAAAAAGAAGACCGGTTATGCACCTGGACGAGGCAATGCTAGAAAGAGAAATCATCCAGATGGCCAAAAAACTATTCAGGATTCAGTTCGACTAAGTAATGTTGGTGATCATCTGCCCACAGTGAGTAAGACATACCGGCGTTGTGCTAACTGTAGCACGAAAACGAAAGAGAAGAGAAGTAATGTTATCTGTATGAAATGTAATGTAGCACTTTGCAAAATGTGTTTTACACCTTTCCATCAATCTTGAGGTTATTGATGAATGAGAAATATATTTCAGTTCATGTAAAAACGATGTGTTTTATTTTTTGTGAGGATGAGGTAATAAATAATTTGTGGGATTGTGGGTGGGTTCTATATTTCCCTGAGATGAAAATCCATATTTAAAAAACTAATAAATAGAGTTTATTCTATGATTTTCACTATAAGGGTTTTACAAAAACCGCGACACGTGTTTCGCTGTACAATAGCTTCTTCAAGCATAACTGAAGTTACTTCTAAATTACACCTTATATACTATAACCTAGTAACTATTCGTCTACCTAAGTAATAAATATACCTGAAAAAGTCAGGTATCAATACATTTTTCGAAAGTATACCTGTAAATATACCTTACTATTATTGCCTGCCTGTGAACAAATTCAATAAGGGTGAATTATCCAATTCAGTTTGATCGTTCATAAGATGGTGGGAGTTTTTGAATTTGTTTATTTCTATACTCTCCAACAGGTTGAGTTTCAAACCTTTCTTCTGGAAATGGAGGGGTTTGTATTCATGGTCGAACTCATGTCCCTCTGAGATTAGATGACTGGCATATGCGGAATTCATTTTTCGGTTCTGAAAACTATATTTGTTTCAGTTCTTCCAAACTGGAAGAACGTTTAAAACCCGCATAAAAATCATTTAGAAAAGTTCACACATGCAGTTCGTGCTATTGGTAATATTAAATCCCTGTGAAGTTACTGACGATGACGAAGTAGTATTCAGTCCAACTGTAGAGAGTTCTTCATGACTAACCAATAATCCTCCTTAAAATAACGTGAGTTGGCGTATGTAGTTGTAACATATGACTTGTAATCCAAAGATCGTGTGTTCAAATCCCATGGACCCAAAATTTTTTTTGTTATCAGCAGTAACGTTTTACAAAAAAAATTGTATGATACATTTGTTAAAAGTGATTTAATTTTGCTCTTGAGTTTGCTCCACTTGCTGAAGCTCGTTTTGCAATAATCCCCACTCACAAAATAAAATGCCACTTTCAACACTTGTAGGTAAAACGTGAATAACTATTTTTCCACAAAAACTTCTTTATTAAGAAAACTTGACGATTTAGGTATAGGAACATGATATATCATCTTGAAGCATTTTTCACCATCTTTCAATTTACCGAGTAATATATAGGGGGTTTCATTTGAAAAAATGAACTTTTGACTACTTTTATGCACAATGGAAATAATAGTAATTTCAGTACGCCCTGTATGATATAGAGTCGATTTCTTAGTGTTATTTGAATATTTCGAGTTTGTCCAAACTATCATCAAAATATCAACTTTTCATGAATTGAGAGTACTGATGTACTCTCTTAATTTCAATTAAGGCTATGTTTTGGACCATATTTAGCACAATTTATTTTTTATCTCGAAAACAGATAGAGATAATAGGACATTATTAACAAAAAAGTATTAAAATACTAGAGCGATTCCAAAAATGTATTAATATATGGGGTGTTCCATTTAAAAAATTAAAGTTGCTAGGACTTTTTGATAGAAGTGGCAACGCCGCAATGCTGAAAATATTTTAGATCGATAAAACAGGTAAAGAAATGTGAGAGGTGAAATTTTCAGAAAAATCATGCTTTGCGTTTTCCAGAAACGTCTAACCTACCATCGACCGTGTGTCACGCTGTATAAAGCTCTAGTTCGCCCACATCTTGATAGCGGTAGCATATTTTTTGGCAAATGCTCAAAAACAGTATTGTACCAGCTCGATAAAGTACAATATCAAGCATTACGCTTAGCTTTGGGTTTTATGAGATCAGCAGCAATACAATACTACTATCAGAAAGCTCAGAGATGCCTCTTGCTCACAGGCGAAATTGGTAGGGAGTGAGATGCATTTCTAAATTGTTATCTTACGTGAATCCTAATATTCATTCAGTTATGGAGTTGCATGATACATATATTCAATATCCTACATATTGGCGGCTTAATTGTCTTCCCCCCATCCTTACTGCATATATCAGACTAACACCCTACATCCCAGATATTATGTTGCTTCCCAATTTTCCTTGTTACCGTTATAGTTAACATGGTCAAATATTCCCAATTCACGAAATGAATTTCTCCAAAGAGAACGACAACCACAAGGATTTTCTCAGACTCGTCCAGCAACAATTTGCCAATCACACATATTTTTTCACCGATAGATCTAAAGATGCACGCGGTAATGTTGGCATTGGAGTTTTTTCATACAACCTTAACCATTCTGGACGATTACCCTCTTTCTTTTCAATATGCTCAGCTGAAATAACAGCCATCCAAGAAGCAGTACAATATATTGTAGACAACGATATCAAACACGCAGTTATCTTTATATAGCGACTCAAAAAGCGCCCTGGCAAAAATTTCCCGGTCAACTATATCTCCAAACAGTGATTACCTTTCATTACGTACCAGACAACTGATATACAGAGCCGTCGCAAAGGGATTCAGCATACATTTGGTATGGATTCCTAGTCATTCCGACATCAAGGGTAATGATATAGCCGATACTTTAGCCAATATTGGAAGAAATCATCCACTCTCTAATCATCCTCAAGCAGACTATAGAGAGTTTCAATCATTATTGAAACATAATATTTGGATAGACTGGACCAATCAATATAGCGGGGACGGACAATTCAAAGCCAAACTTTACTTTTCCTCCGTACCACAACCTTACAAAACTCCATGGTTCAAGGATTTGGTTACTTGTTCTCGTAAAGAAATCGTCAATATGTGCAGAATTAGGAGCACTCATTCCCTCAATAAAGCGCATCTCCACAAAATTAAGATAGTTGATGACGACCGCTGCGAATGTGGGGAAATACAGACTCTCCTACATATATTCTTTGCCTGCCCTAATAATTCTCATAATATACAAATACTTCATGCTTCTCTTAATTCAACAATTCAGCCTCTTACCTTCCACGATATCTTTTTCAAACATATATCACATACAAACCATATCCAAATTCCTGATTGCATCCAATATAAAGCTGTAGTGATCAAGACAGACCTAATACTCATGCGCAGGCAGTGCTTCGCCAATTATGACCTGATCGTAGTGTCCATACACGTAACCGTAGTGCATCACTTCACATAAGTGCTTACACTCTAGTGCAGGCGGACATTGCTTGTTAACTGAATTCAAATTACAGTCGAACTTTGTTTTAGCGCAAAACCAGGTGGGGTTTGGGTCCAACTCAAATCCACTTCAGTGTGGGCTCCACCTGTAGTAGCAACATGATCCTGGAACTCCTGGCTGGATAGTCCTGGCAGCTGAAGCCATTAATGGAAAAAGAAGAAGAAAAGAAGACGAACTAATCTCGTAATGCGAAATGTTGCATACTACTGCGCTTGTGTGAGAGTTAATCGAAACTTACAATTTCTGACAAATACTTTTGTGTATACATTTTTTCTCACTGGAGAGAAAAGTGTAAGAAATGAGTAGAATTTATGAAAATGAGTTCGCAATTTACATTTCCCATGAGAAATTTGTTAATTCTGTCTACAATTCTCTTCATAAATGTATAAATCCAAACTTATTCCATATATTTCATCAATATAAACAAAAAAAGCTGAAAGATTCAAGTAGTGGGCCAAACAATGAACCTGAGAGTAGATATGAAAGTCAGATACGGGAACAAACTATGGTGAAAATGAAATTGAAACATTTTATGAGTATAGCCCAATCTGAAGGAATTTTCAAAAATAGTCTAGAAAATTCAGAAGAAATGAATGAGTCAGCTTTAAGAACTGCTCAAACAATTTATAATGAAACCCGAAAAGAAATGGTGCAAAATGCATTTGGATCAAACTGTGGCCCCCCTGTTGTGAAAGATATTAATAAAGGGATTTATCTTTTTCCACAAAATTCAACATTTTATGCAAAAAATATAATAGAAATCACTGCACACTTGGAACATCAAACTTTTGACCTCATACTCCTGGATCCCCCTTGGTGGAACAAGTACATTCGTCGAAAGAGAAAAGCCACTGGTGATGGTTATGACATGATGTTTAACGATGACTTGAGAAGTCTCCCAGTGGAAAAGCTATTGGAGAAAGATGGTTTGGTAGTTGTGTGGTGTACAAATTCTGAACAAAATTTCAATCACTTAGTGACAAAGATTTTTCCAAAGTGGAATGTGGAATTTTTAGGTGTTTGGTACTGGCTGAAAGTAACAACTTCAGGTGAGCCAGTCTGTGATTTTTCAGATCCCCCTGGTAAGCAACCCTATGAAAAAATTGTGTTTGGCTGTAGAACACGTGTTTTGCCTTTACCTCAAGATGGAAAATTAGTTATTAGCATTCCTAGTGCATTACATTCTCATAAACCTCCATTAGTTGAACTACTGAAAGAGTATTTACCTGAATTTCCTAAATGCTTGGAAGTGTTTGCGAGGTACCTTCTGCCTGAGTGGACTAGTTACGGCAATGAAGTTTTAAAGTTTCAACATGAAAGTGTATATTATCTGAAAAGGTAACCTTAAAGTGATAGGTAGAGTCAGAACCTCTGAATTCATTGAGTACACTTTTCCCACACCAGAATGAAAATACTGCCTCGACGCGTATTTCAATAACCAAGTTATCACAGACACACTCAATGTGGTCAGTATTCTTTGCCAGCAATATTTGAAATCGTTGAAGGAAAACACCCGAGTACAATTGTATCAGCATGTATTATAATAATTATTACGTAAAAGAGCACCCAAAGAGTTGTTTGTAATGGGACTTTTGTCATTGTTCATAGATTTCATTTTTCTATTTCCAAATTTATAAAGGCAATCTTAAAACCTATTATCATGTACTGGTTTCAAAAATTTCAAGCATTCCTAATTCATTCTCTGAGGCATGTTGAGAGACACTAGACCTTTCTTGTTTAGGAAATCAAATCTGTCTATCGGTTTAAAATCTGTTTTTCCATTAACCAGCTGTCGCACCCCTACAAACGGCAACCCTCAAAAGTCGAAACTTGTGAGAGCTAAGGACTAACGAGATCTTACCCTTTAAATATACGTAACACGTATTATAGCCTGCTTGGTTTGTTGTACTTTGGTTCATATGGAGAAACTATGAATTTTGTGTCTTTATCTTTCTGAAATGTTGGAGATTTACAGAAATGTTTGTTTGAAGGTGGTTAACAATGTTTCATGGTGCATTTCATTACTTCGAACTTCCATTCTCTAATTGATTTGAAATTGATTTGAAATCCCTGAAAAAATCTGTAAAAAATAAAAAGGTTAGCTGAAAAATAACAATTAAGTACATTAGGCAAAAAAACGAAATTACAATGAAATAAAATACAAACAACCAAAAAATAAAAAAAATGGAACTATTAACATGAGATGAAATTAAAAAATGATTTACAAAAAATGAAAATTGAAAATTAAAAGATTTCAAACCAAATTACTTCACAACATTTCGATTGTTAGTATCCACAATCGTCTTCGGGTGATAACTGGACTTATTCCTCAGAGATCTGACTATTTATAGGTCATTCGAGTGCTTTCACATATCCCCTCTTCCCTCTCTTTGCTTCATCGGTTTTAGCGGAAACTGACCGTTTGGCGGGAGTTGGTCGTGTTCCGCTTGATTAGAGGTTTCCATATGTTGCGTATCTCTACGCTAGCTTGGCTAAATGCGTTGTTGGACAATATATAAGTGGCTTCTTTGAATTTTCTCCTAAACCAGTGTTCCTCCTTGTGGATGATTTCAGCTTGAGCCCACTTGTTATGTTGATGAGTCCAAACATGCTCCGCTATTCCTGATTTGCTTGTTTCTCCTCGCTGTGTGTGTTTCTTGTGCTCGGCATAGCAAACTTTCAATGGCCTCTTAGTTTCACCGATGTATGATTCTCTGCACTTGCAGGGTATCCGGTAAATGCAATTCTTGGAATCGCAGTTCGCGTTTGGTGGCCTAGTTTTTGTGAGGCTGCTACGGATAGTGAAACAGATCTGAAACAGGTTCTGATGTTATATTTGGACCCAATCCTTCTTATCCTTTACGAAAATTCTCTGATGTAGGGAAGTACAAGTACTGGTTGTGGCGGCTTCTCTTCCCTGTGGAGCTCTTGCTGTCTTCTAGCTAAAGCCTGTTCTACCATCACTTTGGGGTAACTATTCGGTTGAAGGTCATTTTTAACCCATTAATTCCCAAAGATAATAATAAGAACTATTTGGATGATTGAACTATTTATTATGGATAAAAATGAATTCGAATAGCCAGTTATAACAAAAAAACATTTTTTTTTCTTCACACTAGGTGCAGCAAAATGTTGTGTTAACGCAACTTTGGGATTTGTAGGATACATAAAGTTGATCAAGCTTTGTGAAATTGTTGGAAGCAGTCAGGATGGAGATGTACCTGACATTTCGTACACATATATATGGTATTGCTCTTACATTGTCGGCATCTTCTCCTGGCCTTATTTTCCTGTTCAACTATGATATGACCAACATTGTCAAAGCGCAAAGTGGAAGGTAATGCATTTTTGGATGGTCTTCCACAGGTTGGGTTCACAGAATCAGTATGTCCTACAATTTCCTCATTCCCTTGACTACAAGTTTCCTCTGCTTTCATCAGACTGGCCGCAACATACGATTTGAACTCTAACTGTGAGATTTTCTGTTTATTTGCTATATTATATACTTTCCAGGAATTTACAATAACACTATCCATGAAATTTATGAAAAGCGGCCACCACCATTTTTTCCCCTTTACATGAATCCTGTAGTTTGAAATGCCGTTATCGTGGAGATCAACTCCTCCCATGAACTGGTTGTAATCGGCAATAAGTTTTGGCTGAGGAATCGCAATTTTCTTTTTTTCTTTCCTATCGTATCGTTTTGCAGCTACAAGGGGTTCAATGCTGCAAGTATTACTTGCCATTGTTACAACAGAGTTATCATTCCATCTGACTAGAAGAATTTCCTGATCCTTATCAAATGAAAAGTCATAGAAACCCCTGTATTTCTTCTTTATGACTTTCACAGTTTCCAGTGTATTATTACATGTTCGGTTTTCACGAATTGTTCCGGTTGCATAAAAACCTTTTTCCCTCAATGAACAGAACAGTTTATAAGAAGAAAAAAAGTTGTCGAAAAATACACGATGTTTAGATGGCTGAGGTACAGCGGACAAAAGATCCAGGACAACCCTTTCTCCTAACCCTAACTCGTTTCTATCATCATTGCTTCTCCCACCGTATGGAATGAATTTATACAAATATCCATTAGAACTACACAGACACCACAATTTGAATCCAAACCTAATTGGCTTGCCTTTTATAAACATTTTACAACTATGTCGACCAAAGTATGGCACCATCTCCTCATCAATAGACAAATTATGGGAAAAAATTCCGAATTGCATGTTTCTTTCGTTCATCATATAAAAAATGGGTCTCAGTTTTGAAAATCTATCATCTGTATTCAGTTGATCATTATCTGATAAATGTATATTTCGTTTGATGGCATCAAATCTGTTCCTTCTCATACAACCTCTCACTAGCGGTATACCTTTGTCTTCGTCCTTTGACCAATACATTTTTGTAGCTGGTAAGGTATGGTAGCCAGAAAAGAACAATATACCACAAAAGCGCTTCAGACTTGCCCTGCTTAGTTCAAAGGAATGTCGATTATGATCATTCGCATATTTTTTTTGAAAAATGAACTATTTTATCCCAGATTTCATCAGTGAAGTACAAAGAGAAAACTTCGTAAGGAGACTTTCCACCAATTTTACTTTCTATTTCCTCTAGTCTAATATGTTCTTCCTCTTGTGGTGCAGTTGTATATGTAGGATGTTCTTTCTTCCATTTTGGAATAGCTTTCTTCACCTTTTCTTTCTTCGTTTTATTTTTGTTCGTTTTGGAAGAACTCTTTCCTATTTTTGAAGTTGATGGGATAGGTTGTTCATCAACTCCTTGAGATTCATCAGGATAATTTGCGTGGATTTCGTAAGTCCCAGCGACGTCTGGAATATCCAGTTCAGTGTCGGTTATACTTTCATCGATCTCCTCCTCGTCTGTCAGTTCATCAACCGGTGGTGGTATATATACGGCGTCAATACCGTCAGCTTGTTGTAATTCATCGTCCTCTTCTAATAATGCCATCATTTCTGCAGTAGATAACGGCCTTCTGTTTTCCCAAGACATAACCTGAATCAAACCAATAAGAATGAAACCATACATAATATAGATTATATAGAATATTATGCAATTCACACATTGCAATAGATGAAATTACTCACTTGAATTGTATGAATCACAAGATGTTTTCGAAATAAACAGTTCACTAACCAATAATATCAATTATTCAATCGAGTAATACTAACGAGCTCAACTTCACGACCTAACAATTCCAACTACACAGGAATCAACAGGTTGTGGAACCATATCATCACGATCGCCACGTGTCTCACCCTCTCCGAACTTTTCCAAATTCTAATAATTAGTAATGCCAAAGTTGCGTAAACGCAACAATAATCAAAATAGCATATCATACAAAAACTGATGAATTTTCAACATATGGGACGGTGTGATATTCTGTACTGAGACTATGTAAAGTTATTTTCGCGAACTATCGTATATATTTCCTTTCTGTCTATTATTTCTGGGACAGTCAAACAGGGACGGATTGAAAATTATATTTGAGTACTTTTGAAAAGTTTACCAAAAATACGATTTCTCAATAAATCACTGAATTTTCTTGCCAAATTATCAATAAATATGCCTTTAATAACATACAATGGGTGAAAATTCAAAAAACTCAAAGACGTATTCACGAAAAAATAGATTGAAAAATGTTTCGTATGCGCAATGTTGGGAACTAATGGGTTAATGATGCCTAGTTCCTTTTCGAGACCTTCCTTTGTTTTACCGAGCCCGAAAGCACGGTCAAGTAGAGTCTTGATGATTCCTCTCTTAGTTGATTGATGGTGGTTGGATTTCTGGTTCAGATACTGTCCTGTGTGGGTGGGTTTTCGATATACAGATTTTCCACATTTAGTGCCGGTTCTCTTCACCAAGACCTCTAAGAATAGTAATTCGTTGTGGACTTCCTTCTCCATTATGAAATTGATGGAAGGACTTACGTTGTTAATGTGCTTCAGGAAGGTGTCTTGTTCTGCATTCCCATGGTTCCATATTATGAAGATGCTGTCCACGTATATCAACCAGACTCTTGGCTTCTTGTAGACTTCTTCAATAGCCAGAGTTTCAAAGCACTCCAAATATATATTGGCTATAACCGGTGAAAATGGTGATTCCATTGGCAGTCCCTCATCTTCCGTAAAGAATTCGTCCCTCAGTTGGAAGTAGCAGTTGGGTACATAGCATCCTAGTAACTCCATGATTACTTGTATCGGTAAGTTTGTTCTATCTTTCAGGTCCCCATCTTCAGATAGCTTCCTCCGTACGATTTGAAGTGCTTCTTTGACAGGGACGTTGGTGTTGCTTGTATTTTATTTCATTTTAATTTCATTTTTTTTTGCTAACCTTTTTAATTTTTTACAAATTCGTTCAGGGATTTCAAATCAATTTATATCATATTAGACAATGGAAGTCGAACTAATGAAATTTACAGAAATACTCTTCAAATTTTCATTTCATAATCAACTTATCTACTATATTTGAAGGTAATAGCTGAAAGTAATAGGTGTCCACTAAACACAAAAATGAAAATTTAACAAATACTGTTTTTCCTTTAATCAATAATCCTCAGAAGTCGAAATTTGTGCTAGCTAAGGATTGAAAGGTCTTACTTTTCAACGTGCGATTCCTAGCACGGATAGTTGATGAGTGAACAAAAATTTGGAGAGTGTCTACATAAAGTCTCAACCCTTATAAAACAACCCATAATTTAAAGTTGTTCCATATGTACCAAAAAACACCAAAGGATTGGTTCAAATTTTGGAAAAATCAAATATGAAAGTTGCTTTGAAAGCTGCTCATACACTCCAACAAGTGTTAGGTACCTCAAAGGACAAGACTGCAGAAAAGAAAAAGTCTGGAATTTACAAAATAAGCTTTGAGGTTTGCGATAAAAAGTATGTTGGTCAACTAGGTACTAAAAGAAATATTTTCCACTTATTCAGTTTCATAAACCAAAGAAGTTTAGTGTCGCTCAATGTGCCTTACAAAATAAGTAAGAAATGGTTGAAATTGTGGAGATTAAAATACTTATGCCTCCAAGAGATGCCTTGAAAAGTCTAGAAATCGAAAAATATGGATTTAGATCTATGAATACTGACATGAACAGAATTAAAAATGAATAGCTGAAAATAACAATTATATTAAGCAAAATAAACCTGAAATGAAATAATAGACCGTGCTTTCGAGCTCTGTAACACGAAGGAAGGTCTCGAGAAGGAACTAGACATCATTAAAAATGATCTTGAACGGAATGGCTACTCCAAAGCGATGGTAGAAAAGACCCTGGCTAAAAGACAGCAGGAGCCTCGCAAGAAAGAGAAGCCGTCACAACCAGTGCTTGCACTTCCGTACATCAGAGGATTATCGGAGAGGATAAGAAGAATTGGTTCCGAGTACAACATCAGAACCTGTTTCAGATCCGGCAACACTATCCGTAGCAGCCTCACGAAAACCAGGCCACCAAACGCGGACTGTGATTTCAAGACTTGCATTTACCGGATACCCTGTGAGTGCGGAAAATCCTATATTGGTGAAACTAAGAGGCCATTGAATGTTCGCATTGCCGAACACAAGAAACACACACGGCGAGGGGAAACCAGCAAATCAGGAATAGCAGACCATGTTTGGACCCATCAACACAACATCGAGTGGTCTCAAGCTGAGATCTTGCACAGAGAGGACCATTGGTTTAGGAGAAAATTCAAGGAAGCCGCTTACACGTTGTCCAACAACGTATTCAGCCAAGTCAGCGTAGAAATACGCAACATATGGAAACCCATCATCAAGCGAAAAATGGCCAACTCCCGCCAAAACGGTCATCTCCCACGAAACCAGTGAAGCGGAAAATGGAAAGCGGGGATAAGTGAAAGTACTCGAACGACCTATAAATAGTCATCTCTTGGAGGAATCAGTCCAGTCATCACCCGAAGACGATTGTAGATACTAACAATCGAAACGTCGTGAACTAACGTGACTTGTTATCTCTCAACTTTTTATTTTTATTTTATTTTTTCATTTCTTTATTTTTATTTATTTTTGTTCAATTGTTCTATTTTACTTGTATTTTATTTCACTATTATTTCATTTTAGGTTTATTTTGCTTAAAATAATTGTTATTTTCAGCTATTCATTTTGAATTCTTCTTTTTTAGTTGTTTCAGGGATTTTAAATCATTTTATATAGTAGACAATGGTAGTCCGAATAAGTTTTAGGATGCTGAAAGATTTAGTTTTAGGAATGATGATGCTAACCTGGTTAGCAAAACATGCATCAAGAAACAGTATTTTTGTTAAGGTGTGGAAAAATGTCATTTCAGTTCTTTGATACAATTTATTGTTTCACAATTTCTATGAGTTATCTAGTTTTTTCATATTATATCATCATTTATTTGATATGTTGAAAAAATACAAAGATACATCCGAACCTCTTTTCAAGCAGGTAAATGGATAAATGTAATCAGTTATTTGTTATATATCAAATGAAGAACTTAAATAATAAACCAAATGTGACAATAGTTGTGTGTTTTTTTACTACAGTATCGCTATCGGAATGATGGGAATATTCAATATACCCCAGGATCGGCTCATAAGCTTCAAGAATTACAATTTCATGCAAATTGAACAATCTGATCGCACTAACTTACAAAAAGTAACTTCAGAATTTCAATAATCTACAATAAGTTTCAAACAAACCTGTAAAAAACAATACCCTATTCCTTGTCCCAAATACCTCCTTTCCTTTGTCACCTCCTCTGCAACCTCAAATACAGGATGTTGGAAATTTATATCATTAATGAACATTCCCTTCGTTTTCATTCTCATTGATTTCACTTTCAGCTGCTGGAATCTTTGAAATTACTTGATGAAGATCCATAGTAATTTCATAAACTACACGTTATAATTTGATCTCCACAAACTTTATTTGAGAAATATATCGCATGTTTTGCAGTAGCAGTAGCTTCTTCAACAGTGATTTCAAATCGGTGTTGAAGAAGCTACTGTGTTAGAGAAACGTGATATATTTCTCAAATAAAGTTTGTGGAGATCAATTTGTAAGGTGTAGTTTATGAAACAAAGATTATTACTAATATGCTTGTAAAAGTTGTTAACAGTGTCATGTGGTAGGTATAAGTATAGACATCTAAGTGTAATTCTGATTATTTTACTGATGCTGCTTGCCACCAGAAAAATAGCATTACTGTCACATTCCATGTAACATAATAAAAATTAATACATAATTCATTGAATTAAGAAATATGTGCTAGTCCAAGGCGTATTTTACTCTCTCATCAACTTAAAATATTTTATTGTTCCCAAACATTTTTTTTATTTTCAATGTTACTAAGTTATACTTGTAACTAACAATGTTACTTGTTTTGTACAATGTACAAAACAAGGATGATCATGAAGGAATAGTGAAAGGAAGTGCTCTTGTCATACATATTATTATTTTTTTCTGTATGCAATAGGTATATTTTATTCACACTACTTGAGTTTCCCCAGATCATACCATAGGTTAGAATCGACTAGTAATGATAGGCAAGTTGAAGAATATTTAGTGATACACCTAAGTTGCCTAAAAACAAAGCATGGGCTTAGAAACAATATTTCCATTATGTACTTTACATATTAACTTCTGATCTACAATTAACTCAAAGAATTTTTTTTTCAGACAGCTGTCGGATATAATCTAACGCCCTTCGTGGTATTAGCCAGGGAAGTTGTTGTTTCCTGATGGGTGTCAGTGCATTAACCCACAGTGTAGTTGAGACTGGCCTGAACTAATTGTTCATATAGAACATAGATAATTTAATTTTCAGAGACTTGTTTGTTAGGCCTGTGTTGTAGACGTATCAGTGAACTGTATTGTTCAAAATGACAGAACATTTAGGAATCGAATCCAGGAACATCATATGAGCTATGTAGATGAGAAAACAAGTTTAACATATTCAAATAATCTTTTAGAGAAAATCATATATTGCGAAGAATTTGAAATTTTACACATAGAAAATAAAGGTTTGAAACTGAATCATTTGGAATCAATGAAAATTAATAAACTTAAAAATTCAAACATTTTAATGAATGACCAACTGGATTTCAATAGATCGCCATTATTGAACTTGTTTTCTTTAAAAAAACCGAGGAAGTATTATTGATGTAGAAGTGAGGATATATGCTTCAGATAATCATAATTGAATAGATATCTCAGGTATATAAAAGTTGTAGATGTTTAGGTAATTTGATGGAGGTAGTCTCAATTGTAGTTACCTGTGGTATATAAATATTAGCATATGAAGCAACTTGTAGTATTCAAATCACTGTTGAAGAAATTACTGCGTTAGCGCTAAGTAAGTTTTTTTTTTTTCATTTATTGTGAATAAGTTGGACGAAATTAAAAAATCTGACGATATAGTCGATTGGTTGCTGACAAATAATTTTAAGTCTTTATCTTATGATAATGAATTTTACATTATTAAAACTCTGGGAAGGCCTCAACCAAATTTGATTTCAATTGAAGCGTCAGATAATCGACAAAATCGCGGATTTAATATTAGTTGGTACAATAAATGCGATTGGTTAACCGGCTCCATTAAACGAGAAAAACTTTTTTGTTGGCCCTGTGTTTTATTTTCCGTACAAACTGAATACCAAACGTGGTCTAAAATAGGATACTCCAATTTAAAAAATTTACCTCGTTCTACAGAAAGACATCTTAAATCTAAGGAGCATATATTTTCGTCTTGTAAATTAAAATTGTTTAGCAAACAAAATATATCAACAGCTTGCTCAAAAAGAGCCCATAATTTCTTTTAATAATCAGGTAAGGAAAAATTGGTCTAATTTTAAAAGACGTATCGATATTACGATTCATTTGAGTTCCGCAGAATTAGCTTTTCGCGGCCACGATGAAACCGAAGATTCGATTAATCGCGGCAATTACAAGGAACTTTTAATGTTATGGTGCCAATATGATTCACAATTTGCCACTTTTTTAAACGGAAGCTTTTTTTCGGGCACCTCAAAAACCATCCAAAATGAGCTTATAGACAGTGTGGCATATATTATTAAGGAAAATATATGCAAGGAGATTGAAAGTGTTTCTTTTTTTGCATGGGAAATTGATGAAACTACCGATATTGCCTGTACATTACAACTTCAATCGTTTTTAGATATGTCAAAGATGAGCATAATTGAGTACTTGTGCTTATAAAATACTAGTACTATGTTGTTGTATCGCTGCTGTTCCAATGTTTTGACAGAATCAGAATCAACGAACTTGGGCGTGCGCAGCGTTATAGAACAGTACTTTCAAAAATTGTCCACAGCGCCATCTAGTGGCGAGTTACAGAAAAATTGATAGCCTAAAAACCTTCTCTATGAAAAATTACTTATACATGTCAAGTTTCATCACGATCGGTTGAACGATGTAGAAGTTTATCACTTACCAACCAACCAACAAAAATCCATTTTTATATATTAGATTTGTAGCAATTATTAACAAAACTGTTATATTAGAAGAGAAAAGTATTATTATTTATTGACTGAGAAGAGTTCATTTATATTAATTAACTCAAAAACAACCCTTTTTCCTTGTTTTTGTTTTTTAATGGTCAGTTTTATACGTATAATTTTCGGCAATACACAATTTTTTTTTGCATTCATGCAAATATTACGTATTTTGCTTTAAATAGGTGCGGTACCCCCAAAATATTTTCGCGCATCCGGCGGGCTTTTCTGTGTATATATAGTCTTTATGACTTTAGCCTACCCTGTTCTCCAATGCACGAGCCGTCACAGTTTATCAAACTGTCTATGAAAACTTGAAATGCGTGACGACAGTTAAATTTTCAATCTGTGATTGAAAAACGCTAAATCAATAAAATTATCGAACTTTTCATCCCGCAGTGAGAAAATTTCGCCGGCGAGAATGTCGTACTTTTCTCCCTAGGTGCGTAATAAACCATTTTTTTCACTGATTTTCGTCTCCTGTGTGGGGGACAGAAGTGCTTCGTTCTCTCTCGGTTATCTAACCGGGAGCTCATAACTCATTTTTCCTCTCGGTAACCTAGCGACGAATTGTATTACGTGACGACAGTTAAATTTTTAATCTGTGATTGAAAAACGCCAAATCAAGGAAAGGATCGAACTTTTCATTCCACAGTGGGAAAAAATCGTACACGCACCACGGGTGGAAAGTACGACATCCTCGCTTTTGACTTGGATGACAAAATTTCGCTGTCGAGAATGCCGTACTTTTCTCCCTACGTGTGTAAATATACAGTATGTCACGATTAATTACATTTTGATGAAATGATTCAATATAATGAAAAATATGTAAAAAATAAAACACATCCAAACAATATTTTAATTTATTCAGTCAGTTATATAATAAAAAGATAACACCAAATTGTTGGTTGTAATATGAAAACAAGAATTGAAAACAGTTTGATGAATTCATAAATAACTTAGGTATATTTCCATTTGTTTTTTCGAAAATGTGGGCTGAGGACCGCGTATTAAACTTTTCTGTCATTTGAAAAGTCAGGTAGGTATATTTTCATAAAAGCTGTATTTCCTGCTCGTTTGCAGCTGGGCGATATACAAATTGTTGTGCTGCGGCTATTGTAGACGAATACTTATCGTAAACATATTTTAGACCAACCAAACAAAAAAATATAGCCATAATGTAATTCAAAACACTCATTGTGAAATGAATACTCCTTGTGTATTGCATTGTGGAATTCAAAACCTCAAGAATGTTCGTCAGCTGAAATTCTAATTCCTTGCCTGTTCCGTTTTCATTTTCACTTGGTTTGTGGATGCAAGGAACCCCATAAACGTTACTGACATTAAATGAGTTGCCACCAACAAAGGATATTATTTTGCTGCCTTGTTCTATGTCTATCAACATTTTACAGGTCCAGTTATTTCCATTGAGATTTATTTCTCTTAACCAAATTGTGTGCGACAGTATTCCTCTAATGTCGACATTACTCAGATTGTTGTGTGCTATATTTAAGAATCGGAGACTTCTTGTGTTATGGAAACTGTCCTCATCAAATATTACTAGATTGTTATGGCTGATATCTAGCTCAATCAAGCTATTGAGTCCAGTTAGAATGCCAGGCGTTATGTTGGTTATACTGTTGTAACTTAGATTCAGGTGAGTAAGTGATTTTAAGTCTCTAAAACACCCCAAATGGAGCTCACGTATCGAGTTGTGCTGCAACCATAGATGTCGCAGGAGAGATATATTCGCGAACATGTCAAAAGTTATTTCCTGTAAACTGTTGTAGCCTAGTTCAAGTTTATCCAAGTTACTCAATCTCCATAGATTCTTTATGCCGACAAGACTATTACCACTCAAATTTAAGTGTTTGATAGAAGTATTTATGTCGGTTACATCTAGACTTGTTAGGTTATTTTCTGCCAATGATAAGCCTTCTAACTTCATCAGGTACCTGAATATCGAAAAGTCTACTCTCACCAAATGGTTGTTATCGATTTCTAAAATAGATAATTTTGACAAGTGTTCAAAATATTTTGTAGGAACAGAAATTTCAAGATAGTTATGGTTCAGGTGCAGGAAACTCAGCGATGGTAAATTGTTGAGACAGTTCACAATTGTTGTTAATTTATTTGAGTCTAATACTATTCTGTCGAGATTTATCAAGCCGGACATATTGAAAGATTTTAAATTATTCTCTGCTGCATTTATATACAATAAAGCTTGTGGGAAAACAGTGGCATCCAATTGGATCAAAAGGTTGTTTTGAATACTGAGGTATTGAAGGATGCCATTTTTAGAGAAAACATCCACGGGCAACTGTTTCAAGAGGTTATTATTGAGATATATTGTCTGCATATTTTGCAGTTTATCGAACAGATTTGGTTGTAGCACAGTCAATTTGTTGAAACCTAAGTTCAATTCATTCAAGCCCTCTAGATCATTGAAAGACCCTGGTTGGATTACGGAAATCTGATTATTCTGAAGAGTGAGCTTTCTCAAATTGGCCAAACCAGAAAAGGTAGAAGTAGAAATTTCAGTAAGTGAATTGTTTCGCAAGCTCAAGACAAAAATATTGTAAGAGTTGAAAGCACCGCTTTCCAGTTTTTTAATATCGTTATTGTCCATGATTATGTTGGAGATGTTGGCTCGTTCGAATGCCTTTCCTTGGACCACTTGAACTTTCGCCTCTACTGTGATCTGAGTAAGATTGAGAGTCTGAAACATGTTTTTGGTAATGATTGGGATATTACTCTTGGTAACTTCAAGGTACTGGTGGGAATCATTGAGTTTGGAAATAATTTCATCTCGAAGATCGTTGTCGACAGTCATATTGGTACAAGCGACATATCTGTATAGAACTCTCTCCATTCTGAAGATTGTTGTGGTTTTTGCGAACATTTCACATGATTCCTCAGATTTTTGGGATAGTGAAACAAACATCACTATTATCATCCATACTCTAACGTCTATAAACCTGAAACAAAAATTATTGTTTTAATAGACATTACCTATTATTTAGATATTTTTATGGACATACTAACGGGTGGATTTTTTAAGAGGTATAGGATTTGATTTTCAAAACAACATAAAAAATTTGAAAAAATTGATGACATCTTTATTGGAATCGATAGAACGATCAATATAATTTAATCTTTGAAGACGATTTCATGCAAATGTTGTCCGCGGCTCCGCTTCAGATGACCCATGCGCGAAGTCCAATTTTGGCACACTCTAACATATCGACCGGTATTTCACGTATAAAAGCTTCAATATTGCCTTCCAGAGCGTCAGTCGTTGCTGGTTTATCCCTGTAGACATGACCCCACAAGAAATAATCCAAAGGAGTTGAATCACGTGATCTAGACGGCCAATAGACGGGCCCCAAACTTAAGATAAACTGTTCACCGCAGGCGGCTCTTAATTGGGCCATTGTTTCGCGTGCCGTGTGGCACCGTCTTGTTGAAATCACATATCAGGCATGTCCAATTCTTCCATTTTGGGCAACAAAAAGTCGTCAATCATCACACGGTAGCGTTCGCCATTCACAGTAACGTTCCGGCCATTGTCGTCTTTGAAGAAGTACGGCCCATAATCCACACTGAACAGTGACTTTTTCGGGATGCATCGGTAGCTCTTGCAATGCTTGCGGTTGGACTTCACTCCAGATGCAGCAACATTGCTTGTTAACGTATCCATTCAATCAGAAATGAGCCTCGTCGCTGAACACAATTCTTCGATAAAAATGTGGATCTTCCTCGAACTTTTCCAGCGCCCATTCACCAAATGTTAGACGTTGTGGGGTTATAAGGTTTTATATCCAAATCCTTTCGCAAAATTTTTTACGTAGTGGAGTAACAGAGACCCAATTGCTGCGAACGGCGGCGAATCGACATTTCACGGTCATCACGAATACTGAAGGATACATCCGCAATATTTTCTTCGGTCCTCACTCTACGTATGCGTGTTGGTGGTTAAATGTCCAATAATGTGAACTGGATTCGTAGGCCAACGAAACTGTCCATAAATTAGAAGATGTGCACGATGCACTTTCTTCCCGAGCATGAATTTTGATAATAAAAGTCAATAACTTGCAAGCGTTGTTCATTCGTAAGTTAATTCATGGTTAAATTATAGACCAAACTGAACAAGTTTGACAATGACACAAGGCACGATTCACACATGATCTGTCAAAAACAGTGTTGCCAAAAAGATGTCAGCAAAAAATTATAATTGAGGATATATTATATCAGGCACATTTTATAATTTCGGGCGAAACGCCTTTTGATTATCGGTGATTCAGTAATAGGCACATAAAAGTATTTGTTCGTTTCATTATTACTAGAGTTCGGCTCTGCCGAACTCTAAAAACTCGATTCGGTCCCCAGTGGGGCAGGCACAAAGTATGTGCTCTGCTGTTTCATCATTTTCCAAACAGAGGCGACACACACTGTCTTCCGACAGTCCGGCGAGTCTCTGCATATGATGATTCAAATGACAATGACCTGTAAGAAAGCCTGGTAGAAATCGTAGTTCATTTCTAGTCCAACAACTATTTGGTAGCCAATCCTGGAAGATTCTGTCAGAAGTTCATAAATCTTCTTGCCATCCAGGTGTTCAATCTTTGTCTGGCAAAGCCTAGAGCGACGCCAATGACAGTTTCTGTTCCGATGAAGCTGCTTGCAGCACCCTCCTTTGTAAGGGAGACAGCAGCCTCATTGCCTTCCAGGTCAGTATGGCCAGGAATCTAGACCAGAGACAATTTGTTAAGTCTTCCTATCGAGTAGATTGAGTAGATGCTTTAGGTAATTATGATCGAAGAAGTGCCTAAGTAGGTACCTCTCACTTATTATTACATGGGGTATATACAAATTTGAGTATATAATAGAATTAATTTTTAGTATGTCATTTACTATGAAAAAGCTACTGTGATAGCGAAACATGTGATATATTTTTTGAAGATCAAATCGAAGGAAGATCAAATCGAAAGGAATAGTTTATGAAATTACTATGGATCTTCATCAAGTAGCGACCGAATCAATAAGAAGGAATCATGAATCATGAATTTTCATCACACACGACAGATTTTTAAGATTTTTGGAGACACCAACTTGCTCACATCTTTGGTTAATCTTTTAAAAAGTGACTTCGTAAAAATACATATATGTTCTTTCCTAATGAAGTACATTCAGAAGTACATGTTGGAGTTAAAGGTGAAACAAACCCTTAACCAAGGAAAACTTCAAAAATGGTAGTAATGGTGCCAAACTTCAGTTGGTTATTAGTCATTTTTTTGGTAATTCACTCGAAACTGGAATGAGTTTATGGCCAGACGACTCCAATTTATATTTTACAGTGAATGTTGTGTTAGCAAGTGTTTTCAATCCAAAACTTCAAGAGTACACCTTGAGGATGGTATATTTCCAAGTACTTGAGTCAAATTTCATATCAATGCTCTTTCGTTTATCATGTTGTGTATTTCTTTGTGAATATTTGTTCCAATTTCATAACGAATTATAAGAACATATTGAATGAAAGAAGTGTTTTTCATGTAGTTCAATGTTCGTATGAAAGAAGTTATTTCGAGGTTTTTCTGCCAGTTTGTATATGAAAGAAACTTCTTTGAATGATCTATAATCTTGAAGAGTTTATTTTGAACAATTGGTTTCTTCTTTCGTTTTTAAGTTTTCTGAAAGTTTCTGAATACTTATATTGTGTTTCTAGATAGAATTTGGTAAATAAACTACTCAAAATGAATATAGAGACATGTCCGTAAAGTGCAATAGGTAAAAAATATGTATTATTTTGTCAGACATTTATATGTATAAAATAGTTTATAGGCGCCTTTCTTAAATTTAACTTTGTTTTTAACATTGTTTTCAAAATGCTGTTTGGTAAAACGATTAAAAAGAAATACAAATGAGTGTGAAAAACAAAGAAAAAATTTACATTAATAGTGATTTCGTCCACCCCTGGCTCCCAGAAGTTCGGCACAATGACAAGGCATGCTTTCCACCAAATTTCTAATTATTTGTTGTGGTAACTGCTCGTGAATCGTCAAAAGAGCATCTGCAACTTGGTTCAGATTTTGAAAGGTTTGATAATCCTCTAAACGTCTTTCTAGTTTATCCCAGAGCTACTCAATAGGATTTAAATCCGGACTATTAGCTGGCCATCTGATGACATTGATATTGTGCTCCTGTAGGAAATTTCTCATGACCCTGGGTACGTATGGCCTGGCATTATCGTGTAAAATGAACCCAGCGCCCATATTTTGAGCAAAAGGGACGACATGAGGTTCCAATATATCCTCTATGTAACGGACAGCCGTTAAAGTTCCTTCCCGAAATACCAAAAGGTCCGTGTGTCCTGTCAAAGTTATACCAGCCCATACCATTATCGATCCACCTCCAAATGGAACAATTTCTTGCACACGTCAGTCATTGTTGAACAACATGAATTTTTTTTCATCTGTGAACATTACATTGGCCCACTGCTCTAAATTCCAATTACGATACTCTTGACAAAAGTTTCTACGATTTCCTCGATGAACTGGAGTTAATCTAAGGGCTTTAGCAGTCGTCTTGCATAGACTTCGTGAAGTCGGTTTCGTATCGTTTGGGTCGAAATTCGCGTTCCTGTAGCTTCTATAAGGCGATTTTGCAGTGTTGTAGCAGAATCGGTGCGACCCCTAATTGCCTAAAGTCGTAACAAACGATCTTCTCTGCGGGTTGTTGCCCTTTGTCGATTGGGATAAGGGGCTCTGTTTACTATGCCGTAAATTTGGTAGCGATTCCAAGTTCTGGAAACCGCAGAATGACTCACATTAAGCATTTGGGCCACACGACGCCTTGAATACCGTACTTCGATCAATGCCACTGCTCTAGCAACTTGAAATTCGTTGAGATACACTCTACGTATCCCCCTTCTACACGATACATCAACATTCATTTTTAAATTTTAAAATTTAATACCTATCACCAACGAAAGTAAAGTGAACTAAATACTGAATTTTTCATATTACTGATTTTGTAGCTACAGGTACAAAAAGAAGTAAACAAAGTAAAAAAAGTAAACAACAACCGAATGGAACATGATAAGAATTAGTATGGAATATGCACCAGAAGTTTTTATCATGAAAAATACATATTTTTTTACTTATTGGATTTTGAGGATGTGTTTCTATATTCATTTTGAGTAGTTTATTAGACTCTTTCAAAAGTTTTGTCCGTTTTTATGAGTTTACTTTAAACTGTAATATCTCAGTAAATACTTATTCAATTTATTCGAAATAAGTGTCGTTTGAATCAATGCACTTTTGCCAACGTAACACAAGTCGATTAATTACGTCAGCATAAAAATTGTGTGCTCCGGATTCAATAAAGTCGACGAAGGCCGTTTTTGCCTGATAGTGATTGGCGAAGGCTCTATCGATGAGAAAGTTATCGAAGTGCTTGAAAATATGGTAGTCGCTTGGCGAGAAGTCTGGGGAGTATGGTGGGTGAGGTAGAACTAAAACGCTCAATTCGTTTGATTTTTGGACCGTGATTTGTGAAATATGTGGACCGGCGTTGTCCTGAACCAGGATCGGACCTCTTTTCACTGTCCTGAACGCCTCCTGTTGTCGAAGAAGATCCACTTTTCGTCACACGTGACGATCCGATCCAAAATTTCTGTCTATCGTTCAGAGCATGGGGCATCCACTTTTTGAGCTTTGTGACCTTTTCAATTCGTTTTAAACTACCAAAAACTGCATGGGAGCTGACGTCCAGATCTTCCGCACCGATCGTGATGGGCCAATCTCCCCCAGGATCCTCAAGATTACTGTTGGTCGACCATTTTGGGGCTCATCTTCAAGGGTAAAATCTCCGGAACGACATTTTGCAAACCAACGTCAAATAGTACGTTCATTAACACTATCATTGCCAAAAGACTGATTAATTTTTCACGCTGTTTTGGCAGCGCTTTGGGTAAATT